GATCACAGCGTCGCATTCCGTCTCGCCGGGAGAGTTAGCAGCGCGATGTATACTTACCCCGGACTTGTGAGCGTCAGCCTGGGATGTTTCCAGCGCAGCTCTCCGCTCTCTCAGCTGGGTCTGCCTCTCCACCAGGTCGCGGATCTGCTTCTCCACGGCCTCCAGCTCGAGCTGCACCAAATGCACGTCTCCACATCTGAATATGCCCACTTCCCCACTATGTAGTAGACCAAAAAATAATAATAATAATGTCTGAATTCACAGTATTCTTAAGTATTCACAGTGTTCTACAGTAAATTTATCTGGATAACATACTACTACCTGCAATATTTTGAAGTATGCAAACAAAGGACAATTTACTATCCCATAAGGTCTTGGAAGATGATTCATAAATGGCGAGGAAGCAAAACAAGTTACATTGTAGGTCTCATGAAAATGCCAACATGGCAGAAGCAGCATGTCTGGATTGAATTCATACTATTATAGGACATAAACTTTTTAATTGGTCACGAACTAAGATCTTCTTAATGAAGTACACTACCAGTCAAAAGTTTTTGAATAGTAAGATTTTTAATGTTTTTTAAAGAAGTCTCTTTTGCTCACCAAGCCTGCATTTATTTGATCCAAAGTACAGCAAAAACAGTACATTTTGAGATATTTTTACTATTTCAAATAACTGTTTTCTATTTGAATATATTTTAAAATGCAATTTATCCCTGTGATTTCAAAGTTGAATTTTTAGCATCATTACTCCAGTCATTTCTTATAATATTTTAATATGCGTTATAATATGCTGTTTTGCTGCTCAAAAACATTTATTATTATTATTATGTTATTAGCTGAGTAGATTTTTTCAGGTTTATTTGATGAATAGAAAGTTCAGATGAACAGCATTTATCTGAAATAGAAATCTTTTGTAACATTATAAATGTCTTTATCATCACTTTTGATCAATTTAAAGCATCCTTGCTAAATAAAAGTGCTTTGCGGTTGCCAGCGGTGCTGTTTCCAAATCAGGCAGTGATGCGGCCAGTCAGGATGCTCTCCACAGTGCAGGTGTAGAATGTTCTGAGGATGCTGGGGCTCATTCCAAACTTCCTCAGCCGTCTCAGGAAGAAGAGGCGTTGATATATCTTCTTCAGCACTGCGTCTGTGTGAGCGGACCATGTGAGATCCTCATTGATGTGAATGCAGAGGAACTTAAAGCTATTTACCCGCTCCACAGGTGTCTTGTC